CTTGTTACATAATCAAATGCCAAATGACATTCTTGGTTTCAACTTAGGAGAATATAATTTCAGGTAAGTCAGCACAATATTGGGCTGCTAACTCCAATTGCCTTTCTCTTCAGCCAAATGACCTACTTTTCTCTGGTATTTAATGGTCAGGGCATGCTTCTTTTTTAAAAAAATATATTTTATTGATTTTTTACAGAGAGGAAGGGAGAGGGATAGAGAGTTAGAAACATCGATGAGAGAGGAACATCAATCAGCTGCCTCCTGCACACTCCCCACTGGGGATGTGCCCGCAACCAAGGTACATGCCCTTGACCGGAATCGAACCTGGGACCCTTGAGTACGCAGGCCGACACTCTATCCAAACCGGTCAGGGCAGGGCATGCTTCTTTAGAGGGTAACTTATACTGTACGAATCCACGAGAGAGAGTCTTGGAGCGCACCTTCCACTCAGGGACTACTCCAGGTTTTCTTACATCAATTTCCCCAACGTAATTTGCATACCATCCTCCCAATCTTTGCCATTTCCACATAGCAACACAAGACACTTTCATGATTTGTTAATCATATCTGGGTACCACCTGTGCTATTATTTACTTAATATATTTTATTTAAATTAACTCACCTTTTAAATGTTAATATATTTCTTTAGAAAAGAAAACCATGTCACTGCTGCCACCGACAAAGGGGCACCGCCAGCCATGAATGGAGGCAACACAACCCCGGCCTGCTATTTCCCTTTACCTCACTTGTTCCTCTGCTATTGCCTGTTCTTTACTGAATGGACGCTCCATGAGGCCACAGCTTAACCTGTGGTATTCATGGCCATAGTCTCAGCATTCATCAGAAACAAGTGGAGCATTGCCTGCACACCTGTTGAGAGAATGCTGGTGCCTACCCTTCCTATCATTCCTCACATCTAAATTTCGTGTTTCCATTTTAACCATACCAAGGACCAGCACAGAAAACGTTTTTGATCAAATGAGAGCTGAACAATGCTATTAAAATCTAACTGCAGGTGTCAAAGATTTACTAGAACCAAATCAAAACATTCTCCTTGACTTGGTCAGAACTTAAGAAGAAATGGGCACAAAGTGACTTCCTTATCACGTGATTGTTACTCAATGCCATGTTGGTAACACCTAACACAGTCTGTGTTTTCAGCAGAGGTGAGAGTGCAACCCTTTGAGAGATGCTGCCTCGTGGCAAGAAGAGTCCTCTGCTCTATTTCAAAGGAGCTGGACAAAACGATCTGGGTTTTTGAATCCACGAGCATTTCCCTTCTCCATCGCCATGCCTTCCTGACGTTGCTCACCTAAAACATGATTTCAGCTACGTCAGCCTCCACCCCCAATGGTTTCCCATAAGAGGCAGAAACAATGTGGAGCAAATGTAGGCAATATTGTTTAAAACAAATATAAATCCTAAAAACTTTTGATCATATATTCTCCTGGCTTTCTATATTAAAAACCCAGGATATATAGCCTGCTTGAAAATAGCCCACATGTTGTAAGGAGATTGATAAAATGAAGGATGAGTTAGGGCTACACACACAACATTTTTTTTCCCAAACAAAAAGTATAATTAAGTTATGAACACTGCATTCTTATGTGCAGCTGATCCACCATAACCATGCCAGACAGGGCCCTGGCTCCAAGTGGAGAAACATTGATAAAGGAGGTGAAGGAAAGTTCACCCTCTATTACTGGGTTTGTACGATATAGACCATCATTTCCAATGAATGCCAATAGGTGTTAGTTGAAAAAAGATTGGAAAATGTATTGATAAATCAATTTATTTACTCTTAGAAATCTTCAAAATCTTCAAAGCCTTTGAAATGACAACATACACATTGAAAAACTCACTATGACAGGGAGATGTAATGTCTTTTATCTCCCAATCTTACTAGTACTTGACCAAAGTGCCACTCTCCCTGCCATTGTTTTCCTTAGTGTATTCTATACATTAAAGTTCCAAAAGTCCACTCTTGGACAAGCTGGGTTATGTTATGTACTCCTGGATTTATGACTGTACTTGGAAAAAAAGACAAAAGCCAAATTCCTTGTAGATACATGATAGGATAGATGTTTGTGTTCCAGTTATTGGGTGAAACACTTGGTAGTAGCATCAGTAGAATTTATGAGTAATAAATAAAATTGGCTTGGATGTATTTTTAATTTTAGAATGACTAAATAAGTATGGGTATCAGCTGGCTGTAAGAAGGGCCAAGGACAAGGTTCGGAAGAAGAATAGGGCAGGAAAAAAGCTAAACTTGCCAGACGATGAAAGAATTTTTAGAACAGATGAAAGCTAACCCTCCAAAGGATACTTTTTGAGATAATCAAAATCAAATAGCAGAGATGACAGCTGGAGATCACTAATGGGAGAAGCTGTAAGTAGAAGAGGGGATGAAAGGAGAAGAAATATAAGCTTCAAAGAAAAGAAATGATGGAGAGGATTCTCCAAACGAGGGAGGGAGGAAGAAAATGCAGCTGCACAAACAGGCTCATCTATCCTCCAGATAGAACTGGTGGTGGAGGCAGACTACCAGAACGGGGCTATGACAAAGAAAAGACAAAGAAGACACACAGGAAAAGAACTGTGGATTTAGATGGAAGATGAATAGAGGTTATAAGGAGAATTCATACAGAAAGGATATAGGAAAAGACAGAAAGAAGAAAGAGCATTGGCATATTTCAAACTCGGGGTCTATTTCTTCGGGATACACAGGCAATCATACTTCTTCCATTCGCATGGCAGACATTATAAGTAGATCATTGCACTATTGTCCTCTGAATACAAATTTGGCTTCAGAACCATTCTCATCACAACGCTCTAGGTATCCACTGTGGACTGATTTGACTTGCATTCCTACTATATTGAGAAACCAACCCGCCAACTAAACAGCCAGCCAAATAATCAATCAACCAACCTACCCTCAGTGGGGTTTTGGTAATACCCACTCACTGATTGAAGAGGAATAAAAAAATTATACACCAGCTAGAAAAGCAAATGATGTTTCTTTATACAGACATAATGATGTACATGTATGGATATGAGTGAATATATATGTGAAATATGAGTATTTCAAGTAGGTGGACCCAAGTATTCCATATTAATTTGTAATTTGAAACTTGGTTTTAAACATTCCCAAGTACATGAAATTCAGCTCATTATTTACCTTGGCAACTGACATCTTTAAACCCAGTAAGATGATATGAATTACATTTTGAGTTAAAATACCACATATAAAGCAACAGCCTGTTAGAATAATCAGAGCCTTTTCCTTCCTTATTTCACTTGTGACACTATATTGGGCCCAACATCTTAAAAGGTTGGCAGAAATACCAAGTATATGGCACTTTTTAAAAATTGATTTCAGAGAGGAAGGGAGAGGGAGAGAGAGAGATAGAAACATCAATGATGAGAAAGAATCATTGATTGGCTGCTTCCTGCACGCCCCACACTGGGGATCGAGCTTGCAACCTGGGCATGTGCCTTGACTGGGAATCGAACCATGACCTCCTGGTTCATAGGTTGATGCTCAACCACTGAACCACGCCAGCCAGGATATATGGCACTTTTTAAAAGCACATGCGAATAACGCAGCATGATATAATAGCATTGATAATGACCAGGCCATGGCAACAGTGGGGGAAATGTTGGGATTTCATCAATAATGGTTTTTTAAAAACTGCATTCATTTACAGCTTGAAACTAAGTTTCAAAAAGGGAGGAAGGGTGGCAAGTGACAAGTTGCACGGGTTTCCATTTCCTTCTGCAGATGCTCATTAATTTCACGCAGCTTCTGAGCATCTGAGGCCTATTCATGCAAAGAACCACTTGAAGGCATACAATGCCCTCATATTTTCTCCAGTCTGGGAAACATTCAGTGCTTTCTTCGAACTATTTTGTTTGAACATCCTGGCAAGTTATTCATGTTCTGCTAAATAGTGCATAATACTGTGAGGGAGGAGAGGCAGTAAGCTGCTGTTCGGAGTTTCTCCTTCTATGACTTTCTTTATGAATTAACAACAATAAGAAAAGATTCTCATTAGCCTAAGCTGGCTTAATTGAAATAGAAAAGAAAGAGAGAGAGGCATCGGTTAGGCAGAGAAGAGAGCAGCGATCTCTTAAGAATCCCTGAGCTCTAAGAGTTGTTGACTCAAATGAATTCATCATCATCACTCATGTTTCTCCAGGCTTTTTCCCTCATGGCCTGACAAGGTCCTTCACCATGAGTCCCCTTCCTGCCTCACTGGCAGCTTAGGCATACCTTATTCTCAGCCCACCAGCTCCACTGGCCTTTCAATTCCTCCTTGCCACAGGGCCTTTGCACAAGCTGAATCTTCCTGGAACCCACTTTCCATTCCCACTGCCCTTGCTCAACTTTTATAATATTAGTCCAACTGGCTTGTAACTCCTAAGGAAAACCTACTCTGTCTCCACAAACTGGTTTAGGCACTCTTTTACCTTCAGCGTTTATAACTATTTTAGTTATCAATTTGTGTGATTATTCTTCTGTTGCCCACACTCAAGTGTAAGCACTGTAGGGCTATAACAGTGACTATTTGAGAGTTTGACAAATACGTACAGACCATAGGAATAATGTATTAGGTTTAACGTAACAGACTGCTTTGCTAATATATTTATAACTGTGGCACATAATGATTTTGAAAAAAAAATTGTTTCTATAATAAACCAAATATTATTTAGAAAATATAATAAAACAAAGTTATGTCCAACTGTCCTGCACACCACACTGAAGGATGGAAGTCATGACTCTCTGCCTCCAGAGAAGAGGTTGTTACTCTAATTTCCTTCTGTTCTCTGCTTTAGAGGAACTTGAACACGGGTTATGTCTGCCAAATAAAATGTAATCAAGTCATCTTGTTTAACAAATAAACCAAGTATATGCTTTCTAGAATTTTCCATGGAAAACGGATCTTGCAGCCCGTGATCACAGCCTTGTGGGCAATAAATGGTGGAGAAACAAAACTTACGTGGGCTTAGATGCCTCGGCCTGGTCCGTCTGTAGTTTCTCTCCCCCTTCCACCTCCATTGTGCAGTACACAATGCGATTGGGAGCCAAGGATTTGAGGCCTTGCACTTCCATGATCACCACCTGGAAACAATCACACAAAGTGGGAGTTATTGCCAAAGACCATGGGCAGAACCATCCACAGGAAATATATGAATGAGAAGAAGTTACCGAAAAGCCAGCACATACCTGATGGCTTCCACTAGGTTTCTGCCAGCCACGCTGGGACCAGTCTAGCATGAAGATGTAATTCTTACTGTGTAGCTTATTGCCTCCCAGATGGAAAGACAAGTCTCACTAATTCATGTGCTCACAGGGGCCAGACAGGTAATGTGAAATGGCTACTCTTTTCTATGTTAGTCACAGGATCTGTTTCCATTTCCACAAAGAAATCTGCTATCTCCTATTTCTTTAAAAATAATCTAGGTTTTAATTCAGCACTTGGCAGGACACAGGCCCATGAGTTTGCATTAGCCTTGATAGTAAGACTAAAGGCCCAGTGCATGAAATTCGTGCATGGGGGTGGGGTGAGTGGTCCCTCAGCCTGGCCTGCAACAATGCCAGCATCCCTTGCCCCGGCCTCCGGCCTATGGTCCCTTCCCTGCACTCCCTCCATGCGGCTGGTGTGCGGATGCTAGGCTCACATTGCCAGGGCAATGCCACCAGCGTCCCGCCCCAGCCACTACGGGCACCGCCATCTTTGTTGCAGAGTGACGGTTAATTTACATATTACTCTTTTATTATATAGGATAAGTGATGATGGAAGTGCTAAGATTAAGGGCAAGTAGCATTAAGCAGTACAGTCAGAGACGAGAGGAAGTAGTGGGACTGTGGCAACTGGAGAGCACACTCCATCTAAGTGGAGCAGTTGATAGTCATCATAGCCCTTGTGGCCTTGTCTTTCCCTGGTCCACTGTTGCCAGATACTCTCATTTTTCCTACCAGAAAATGGGAATCTGAATCAGAATCCAAGTCAGATATCTGATTTTGAAATTTTGATAATAATTCAAAAAGGGGGGAATAAAATACCCAAACTTTGTGCAAGACAACATTGCTGGGTCAAACCAAAAACATGTCTGTGGCTGCATACACTGTTCTACTCGGAAGGAAAAGGCTAGTGTCTTGATTTACAAGTCCTTCCACTTCCCACCTCTACCCTCAAACTCATCAGTCACCTGCTGTTATTCTCCTAGTCACTGGTACGCCCTGTCACCTATCAGAAAGGGGGGAAGGAATGAGGTGAGGGCAGAGACACTGGTGTAAGAATCTGAAACAAATGGCATGCATCAGAGATCTAGAATGAGTAATGTATATTGAAAAAAATCAATTATACTCTCAAAGAGGTAATGACATTACACAAGGAGGGGATGTGGGCATGCAAACACATACACTTCTGTATGGGCTTGATTCCAGGAAGTACAATAAGGCTGGCATTGAGCCAGGATTTACAAGTTAGTTTTGCTGCTAATTAGCCCAGTGGCTCTTAAACTTAGTGTGACTATAAATAACCTGGAGGGCTTGTGACACCAGAGACTACTGAGCTGCACCAACAGTTTCTGATAAGTAGGTCTGGGGTGGGGCCCAAGACTTTTAAAAATATATAGATTTTTTTTAATGATTTCAGAGAGGAAGGGAGAGGGAGAGAGAGATAGAAACATCAATGATGAGAAAAAATCATTGGTCGTCTGCCTCCTGCATGCCCCGCATTGGGGATTGAGCTTGCAACCTGGGCATATGCCCTGACCAGGAATCTAACCGTGACCTCCTGGTTCATAGGTCGATGCTCAACCATTGAGCCATGCTTGGCTGGGCAAGACTTTTTATTTTTAACAATTTCCCTGGTGATGCTAATGTGTTGCTGCTGATCCAGGAGTCATACTCTAAGAACCATTGACTTCTCATGCGATGTTGGGCAAGTGACTTGTTCTGGAAGTCACTCCACTTTTCTTTTCAAACACCTGAGCCTCAGTTTTCTCATCTGTAAAGTGGGCACATGTGCCCTCTCTCGCTGTGGCTTTTGTGTGAGGACCAAAGGATGTATGGAATTGAAAAATTTTACATGAGGAAGAATCATAGAAATGAGAAGAAATGGTAGGCACAGGAGAAAGAACACACTTTTTGGAATTTAAAAGGTCTGAGTTCAAATCCCGAATCTGCATCTTCACTAGCTGTGCAATCATTTATAAGCTCCTTAACCTCTCTGAGGCTTTGTTTCCTCATCTGCAAATGCCTCCAAAGATTGTTGTAAGGATCACTGAGTGGATAGTGGCAGAGCCCGGTCCACAGTGGCATTCTTTAAGTTCCTACAGTTTTCATCAGAGCTCCCCCTGCCCACGGCCATGCCGGTCGGCCTCCCGGACCTCGGTTCTCTTGCTGCAGTTAACTGCTCTCTGCTGTCCCTTCCAGCAGGTAATTCTATAATTACATGAAATCTGTCTTGTTCCAACCTGAAAACTCAAACTCAGCCTTCCCTAATGAGATGACAGCCGTTATCCCTCTTCTTGCCTCCTGTCTTTATGTCCCCAAACATGCTCACAAATAGATATACAATGATTTTTGCTGGCCGTTTCAGTGTGATGTGCGATTTTGTGTTCTGATTTAAAAGCATTGGGGAGCCCTGGGGGCGCTTTATTCTGTGCTTGTAATTACTGGTTAAAGCCTGTTTGAAGCATGTACGCATGTGAGGATGGCTGGGGACTCGCCTACATTGGCATTTCAGCTAATCAGCTGTATAATATTGTCTACTGGTAAAGAATCAGAAAATTACAGATTTAAAAGCTTCATGCAAATCAATAAAGCACGTTTTCTCCTCTCTGTAGAATGATAAGAAGCAGCCGGGAATAAATTGCCACCTCTAATTGGCAATAACCAAATTCAAAGACACCTAAGAAAAAGCGTTCAGTGCCTCAGGTAGTGGTATTAAAAAAGAAAGAAAGGAAGTTTCTGTGAAATTACACTGATGACATTTTTCACACAACAAATGGTCTATATTTAACCGAATACTGCTTCTTTTGACAGCAAAATGCATGTCGGAAATACTGTAATGTGGCTATCTCAACCCAAACTGAGCACAGGCGAATTACCTGCGGTTAATTCACCGCAAGCCTTAATGATGTTCTAAATTAATTCAGTTTTTACACATTCTAATTACATCTACAGAAATTTGATCTATTCTCTTGGTCTCCCTAAATCTAGGGCCATCATAAAATCCTGGGGGGTAGAGCTGTAATAAGATATGAATGGGTCTCAAACTTGGGAGTGCATAGAAGTGCCTGGGTAGCTCATTAACATGCATATTCCTGGCTTGCATTCGCCTAGAGATGCTTTTTTCTGATAACTTTATTGAGGCATAGTTTATATATCATATAATGAACCCATTTTAAGAGTATAAGCAATGATTTTAGCAAATTTACTACGTTGTGCAGCCATCATCATAAATTAGCTTTAGGTCCCTCATGTCCGTATCCACCCGCTGCTTCAGGAAACACTAATTTCTTTTCTGTTTCTGGAGACCTGCCTTTTCTGGACATTTCATATCAATGAACTCAAACTACATGTGGTCACTTGTATCTGGCTTATTTCACTAAGCATGAATGTTTTTGAGGTTCAATAAATCAAAGCATGCCCCGTCGATGTGGCTCAATGATTGAGCATGGACCATGAACCAGGAGGTCATGGTTTGATTCCTGGTCAGGGCACACACCCAGGTTGTGGGCTCCATGCCCAGTAGGGGGCATGCAGGAGGCATCCGGTCAATGATTCTCTATCATCATTCATGTTTCTAACTCTCTCTCCCTCTTCCTTCCTCTCTCTGAAATCAATAAAATCATATATTTTTTAAATATCAAAGCACATATCAGTAGTTTATTCCCTTGAATTGCTGAACAGTAGTCCCTTGTCTGGATGTACAAAACTTGACCCATTCCCCAGGTGATACACATTTAGACTGTTCCTGTTTGGCTCTTATGAATGATGCTGCTGTAAACTGTTGTGAGCATGTTTCTGTGGGATGTGTTTTCAGTTCTCTGGGGTAGATATCTAGGAATAGAGTCACTGGACATACCTTGGTTTTATGTTTAACTTTTTGAGAAAACACCAAACTATTTCCAAAGTGACTGCACCACTTTAAATTCCCACCCCCTAGAGATTTGGGTCAATAGGGTCTGCAGTCTGAACCAGCTTCTGGGGAATTCTGATGAAGCTGGATCAGATATGTACAAACAGCAAACAGCGGAGTAGAAGTTATGGAGAAGTGTAATGACATACCGAGCATTCTACCGGAATTCTGGCCCAAATGGGTTTTTCCTTTGGGTTGTGAGGTAAACTGAAAAGGCTCCACCGCAATCACAGGCTCTCTCCACGGAGCCAACAGGAGAGATGGTGGGAAAGACAATTTACAACTCACCACAAATGATGCTCGATTGCTTCTCTCATAACTTCAACCCAGGTTGCCCAGACTTTAAACTTTCTAAATTGCATAGCTCTTTACAAAATCCTTGATCACTGGCTTAAGACAGTACAAGTAATGTGAGATGGGATTTAGTAAGTGGTTCTTAAGACTGCATTTCCTTGAGAAGAGCATGGGCTCCCGGGGGCAGGGAATGGCTTGCTGATGAGCTGGCCTGTGCTCAGCAAGCAGTGCTTTTAGGAACTGCTCCTGGGGCGCAAGGAACACACAAGCTGATTGTGAGGCCTCTGATCACCGCGTGCTGCTTGCTGGGCCAGGAGACTATCAGGGGCCGAGAGCTTTTTACCTCCAAGGAGAAAGCCAGCACGACGTCTGACTTGGAGAGCTGGTTCTCGCTCTCCTCGCCCAGGTCGATGATGGAAGCGTTGTGGCTGCGCTTGAGCTTCTGAAGCTTGAACTCGCCGCCCTTGGACACCGGCATGCTCTCCAAGTTGGCCATGAGCAGGTTGACGGACGACTTCAGCTCCTCGATGTACATGTTTTCCATTTCTTTGGATACAAACTTGGGGAATTTGCGTTCCTTGCAGAGAAAAAGCAAAATATGAACAGAGGAGTAAATAGGGAGCTATTTACAAAGGTTTACATCTTAAAGCCCAGAGTTAGGATAGTAGCCACCACCCGGGAGCTTTGCACGTGCTAGAAAAATGTTCAGCCTAGTTGAGTAGACAGCTGCCTGCCCTCTAGTTATAATCCCTAATAGTGACAAACGGACATGAACATAGAGTAAGTAAGGGTCAAATGTTTTATCATAGTTCTAGTCCCCCCACCCCCCCAATTTTCTCTGATTTGTGGAAAGAAAAATGGTGTGATATTTTTCAAGTCTGGATTCAGTTGAAACAGTTTTTCTTTTTAGAGAAATGCAATCGGTTGTTTTTAATTATGTTGACAGAAAGACACCTTATTTCTGGATATTTATAAAAATGTTCTCACATAAATAATTCAAAAGGAGATCATTTAAGATGTTTCAAACGTAGCCTGCGGCTATTTCTGAAAGAATAGTTACTTTTCTCAAAAATAATTGAAAAAATTAATGAAGCAATGAAAAGCATGAGTAATATTATTTAGAAAAAAATATAAAGCAATTCAGTATCAAAACAGACCTTTTTTTCACTTCCTTGCTTATGGATTCAGTTGTAACAGTAATATGCCTTAGTTGTGCTATTTATTTGTGTGTTCATGCCTCTAGGTTGTCCAGGTGCCTTGAATATACTTTGGATGTATCACCTTCTCAAATAATAATTTCCTACTTGAAACATCAAATAACCCTCCCTAGCCACACTCTATAACTGATCAGGTGAGGGGCAAGACAAATCAGTTTGATAAATATTTTTTTTTTGCCAGGAACAGAAAAATCCAATTGGAATTGGCTTGAACAATAAAAGGAATCTATTGGCTTGAAAATGTCCTGGGGTAGACCCAGCTCTAATCAGCACTCAGGTGACATCACCACAACTGAATGAGTTTTGACTCCAAATCTTGGTTTGGGTTCCTCTGGGTTGGCTCCATGCTCAATCTTGCTCGTCTTAATGTCACAAGAAGGTTTCTAAAGATCCAGACCTCACAACATCCCATCACAAAAGGAAGAGTGAATATCTCCTCTTGTAATGCCCATGGAAGATGAGAGTCTTTAATCTGAGAATTCTCTCCCAAAAAGTCTGACTTATGTATATACTGGGAACCAAAGGCCAGAAGCATGCTGTGCTGAATTGCTTAGGCATGAGTTATGTCCTCCATCCCTGAGGCTGGGGGTAGAACTCTACCTAGATCACAGGAATCTGAATTGGTTTGCCAATTCTGTGTGGCAAAAATAATATGTCTATTACATGGGCACCTGATTCAAACTCAACCAACCAATACTATTAAAAGGCCAATGATCAACCAGATTTATTCTCTCAAGCAATTGAACTGAGAGATATTGAGATTTCAGTGAGTGGTGGAGCTGAAACAGTAGATCATGTAGATTCATGAGTGGCTGCCATATTGGACCTGGTGGAAGCAGAATAAGATCCCTGGCAAAGAAGAGAGAGAAAGATGTAGAGAGAGAGGAAGAGAATGAGAGGAGGGGGAGGGAAGAGAAGAGTGGGGAATAAGCTGGCTAGAGTCACAGGAAAGGAGCTTTGACTTCCACTAGTGTAATTCCCACAAAGTCTAGTTATTCCTTTTGCATTCTAGTTCCTTGAGAGTCTCTTATTTTGCTCTCAATAATTCCCCCTATCCCCTAGTTAGCTAGAAGGGTATGTCTTCTTTGTCATCATAAAGCTTCACTCAGATTCAAATAGTGGCTCCTTTATATAGACTCAGAGGTACATTTTTGCTGTCAGTCTTCTTCCTACAGAGACCGTCATAAGTGTTTCCCTTTCCTCTGCCTCCCTAGGTAACTCTCAGCTATCTTGTCACCTTCCATATTTCAGGCTCAAAACTTAACTTTCCTGGGGTTGGGTCCTTCATTGTATTTTTATTGTAATTCTTAGCTTACCTTCTTGGTAACACTTATTATAATTAATATTATAAAATTTACTTGTTCAATGTTTGTCTGTCCTTCTGGGCCACTAGGCAGGACCATACCTCTCTTGATACCTCTGTTGAATTCCTGATATCTAGAATGATGTTTGGCACACAGTAGATAATCAATACATATGAGTTGAATAAATGAATGATGGCTTGTCAAAATGTCCATGGTAAATACCAATGCAGCTAAAACTCATCAGTGAGGAGCAGGTGAAGAGATGATGAACTAAATCTGGAAGAACACTGAGATTCTGCTTTTCCATGTAAATGACTAAAGGATCTGAAACCAACCCAGCAGCCGTAGAGTACCGATTCCTTCTGGAACCTCTTGGTACAATTGTTTCCCGCTTTACGGTTGGGCTCAGCCCCCTGTGGGGTGCTTTCTGAACATCCTGTGAGTGAGTGTGAGGGGAGAAGCAGGATGGATTCTCTGAAATGAGATGATAGGCAGATGAGCTCAACAGGAGCTGTCATGACTCAATGCAAAGGTCTTATTTCTCTAAAATTTCTGCATGGTGGGCTTGATTTGCATCATTCTTGGATTCATCAGGGCACCTCAAAAACTTGGGTACCCTTTATGGAAGGATATGGAAATGTGAGGACTTGGCAGCTGGGCCATCATCACTTGGAAAACATGTAATGCCATCAACACTGTGCCTGGCCCAATACTAGGCACAAGATGATTGTGATGTAAGGATACAGACTGTTCCCCTGGAGCTTGCAGCGAGTGGGGGGAAATACCTACGAGGAAGCATCAAAGCTGATGTGGTAATGGAAGTCTCTGAGGTATGAATGCTTCCTGAGAGAATTAGGGTGGCTTCCAGAGGAGGTGACCCTTGGGCTAAGAATCTGATCGACAAAGAAGAGCTTTCCACCAAGCTGAGGTGGTTGAGACAGGGCCACTGCTATTTTCTCCTTTCCATGGGAAGCACAGTGGGCAACCATGAACCTCAGAAGGTATACATAACTGTAAGTGGTCACAAAATATTTTCCCATTTCCTTTTGAAGATGGCCTCTTGTGAGAGTAAAGGGAAAAATGAGGTAGGTTAATTCATAGTCTCTAAGGCTATGTTAAAGGAGGCCAAACAGTAAAGGTTACATCCTAACAGCCCGAGGGCTGTTACACTGACCTCTCTCTTTTTTCTTCATATTGGAGCACAAACCTCATAACTACCTAGGATTCTTGGACAGCTGGGTAAGTGGTATCTTTGATTTCTACTGGCAGCTGCTGGCCTTCGAGTCGCCATGGAGATAGCGAAAAAGCCATCATGTCTACGAAGTGTGTGCTTTCCTGCTAATCAACCTTGAGAGACCTTACCATCAAGTGCAGATCCTTTTATCACAAGCATCTTCCGAGACTACTCAAGGCCTTTTAACTCTACAGTCTAGCAGTTTGGGAAGAAGACCCAGTGGTCACTGACAATATCACTGTGGCCTGGAGTTAGCATCCACCAAACTTTTATGCAGCAGAATATTGGAAAAATCCAAAGAATGACACTCCTCTCAGAAGTTGGACAGTCCTTGATGACATCGTAAAACAGGCACATAAAACGGAAGTGTGCAAGGGACAACAAGGTCATTTTTCTGCCCTGAGTACTTAAGTCTTGAGAAGAAATAGCATCGTGTCGACCTAAGCTGAGGTTCTTGAGGGGAGTTTTGAGCAGCAGACCCATCACAAACACATTTCAAACCTGAAGTTGTGCCCAAATAAGGAAAACAGAGTCATCCATCTCGATTGTACTTTCCCATGCGTAAGAGTAAATTAGCCTCGACGAAAGGATTGCTTTTTCATTCTGCACTATGAAAGACAGTGCATACTGGTGAACAGTCTTCCAGGGAAAATGTTAGCTGGACATTTATTTTTGTTTTGGGCTGATAACATTCCTCAGTGGGGAGGCCTCCCAAGGATAGTTCCCACAGGCGAGTGTGTGCTCGGCAACATGGAGGGATTTGGGGAACATCTTGAAAAATGGCATTTGAAAGTGCTAACAGCTGTCGGCCATTTGCTTTGCTTTTCTGCCTTTGCATTTTTGCCCACAGAGGATGAAGTGGGTACGTGTAAAAGCTAATAAGTATACTCCACTCTAGCGGATCCTTAGACCCCAAGGGCTCAAATGACATGTCCTGGCGGACAATCAGAAGAAAGGAAGTGGCAGAAGAACACTTCCTAGATGCGGGAGCTCACCAACAGTGGTGCAGTCATTCAATTCCATCTCTAGAGCGCTTCCTATCCTGTATTGGGTAGTATGGTTGCTGCTGGGGACAAAGGAGTCAGCAGAGAGGCAATGGTATGGGGGGCCGTGGCAGAAAGCAACCAATCAGACACCGTGTGACACATGAGGTAACAGAGGATGTTCGGGGTACAAAAGCCACCAGGGAACCATATCCCGTCCACATCAGCAAAAATGATTTCACCTCCTTTGAATCTTGGGTCTGCTACTTACCAGTTGTGTGACTTTAGATAGCTTTCTCAATCTGTCTGAAATTTAGTTTCCACGTTAAAAATGGGGATATAACAAATCTCATAAGGTTATTGTGGCCACTCCACTGTTACCAGTGAATGTGGGTGGTGGGCAGGGGTGTGGCCACTCCACTGTTACCAGTGAATGTGGGTGGTGGGCAGGGGTGTGGCCACTCCACTGTTACCAGTGAATGTGGGTGGTGGGCAGGGGTGTGGCCACTCCACTGTTACCAGTGAATGTGGGTGGTGGGCAGGGGTGTGGCCACTCCACTGTTACCAGTGAATGTGGGTGGTGGGCAGGGGTGTGGCCACTCCACTGTTACCAGTGAATGTGGGTGGTGGGCAGGGGTGTGGCCACTCCACTGTTACCAGTGAATGTGGGTGGTGGGCAGGGGTGTGGCCACTCCACTGTTACCAGTGAATGTGGGTGGTGGGCAGGGGTGTGGCCACTCCACTGTTACCAGTGAATGTGGGTGGTGGGCAGGGGTGTGGCCACTCCACTGTTACCAGTGAATGTGGGTGGTGGGCAGGGGTGTGGCCACTCCACTG